CCCCCCCCCCCTTGTACTGCTGTAGCATCAAATTGTCTTTGTTCCACCAGCTTCAGTGTACACGGGCCTAAACAGTTACACCTGTTATACGAGCTGTATAGACAGAAGGAAGTTTTTGGACCTGTGCTTACGTGCAGGCCTTGGCGAATGCGTTGCTGGTTGCCACTGCTTTCCCGTGGACCGTCTGCTTCTTCTTGGTAAGTCGCTCACTGCCAACTGCTTCTACTATTACCCAAGCCAACTGAATTTCACTGGCAACTAGACGAAACAACTCCGAGATACATCGCTCGTGCAGCGCCCACCACCCTCTCGCCTCCCCGTCGGTGTTTTGGCACCGACAGTCTCCCTCAGAAGCAGCCCACGTCAATTTATTGTTTTCAGGGTTCTGTTTCCGTCTATATGAGCCCTGCACTGTAGTTTCTGCATTTCATTTCCTCTCGCTGTGCATTGCTTGCAGTACGGACTGATGCACTTCACTTACCCCAAAGATTCAACGACGTACGCGCAGTTCCGCTCGGCTCGCGGAGAAGCCAAAAACAGCGACGAACACAGTAAATTGCCGCGACACTCAAACGGAAACGCCAGTTTGCATGTAGCGAATTAAATCGGAATCAATGTTGTTCAGCCCGACCAGGGCCAGCGAGTGGCGCAGGAACATGCCAACTGGCGTTGCTTGCTCGCAAAACTAGGCACCAGGAGCAGGTTATGCTGGTCACATTCGGAAAGCAGCAGCGCCTGCTGCTGCTGCTTTATAAATACCGCCGTTCGCGCATACGCCAGCTAGCGGCGTTTGTAGAGACAAGGCTGCAGGAGGCAAGGAGAAAGACTCTCAAGCTTCTCCTTCGATTGCTCCTTCGCTTGAAATACTAGCAGTACGAAAAATGACGCCAGATCCTTCTGCAAGAAAAACAAACACCGAACGAGTGACAGCTCTCTTCGTTCCCCTAAACACAAGCTACACACTGCAATAGGAACATTGCGATGGTTAACGTACCTGTTTCGTGTTTTTGAACCCCAAGCCTTCCACAGCAGCAACAAAAGCAGACAGAGATGTAATGCGAGAAGAGACCTCAGCTATTATCAAAACGCCTCTGCAGACAGAGAAGCAAAGACAATCTTCAACCATCAGCTCGGCGTACAATAGATGCCTGTGCATACACTTTTACAACGAACACAGGAGCGAATTGAGGGACCTTCTGCTGCAAACGGCGGCACTGCTACCCCCCTGTGTCTGCCCGTTACAACTGAAGCCCTTACCACCAGGAAGGAAGGCTCCAGACAGCACATGCAATTCGTCAAACTAAGGCTTTTCTCTGCCATACCTCCTCTTGAGGACTCTCCGTGCCTCCTTCAGGAAGGCTGGCCAGTCCTGGCCCATCAAACTCAAGCAAAAAACCACCACATCCAAACTGGAGTCCGGAAGAGGCACCTGCGTACAGCATCCCTCCTGCAAAATTCAAAAGCTTGGCACGGGCAGAAGGAACGCTTGAATGACCCATATTTAGGAATGACGAGCAATAGCCCATTTCCACATGAGGTAAAGGTTGACATACACTGGAAATGTCACATGCCGTGATCCGCTCGTTAGCAGCCACCAAATCGAAGGAGTGAAATGTCCTAAGAAGACCAACCAAGGTCAAGCGCAGAGGCACACACGCAAAAAAGCTTGCAGGGGGAATAGCGCTGGGCGTTGACGTGGTGCCTTGCAGCTGCTCCCCGCAGCTGCATAGAACAACTGGGGAAGTGCCAGATACTGGGCCTCGTTGCTAAATATTCATTATCCATCGAATTACCTCTCTGGAAAGCGCAGTGCGAGAGCGGCCTCTCCGCAACCGAAGTCGCCGACTCTGCAAACAACGCACAGTGGGAGGATACAGTGAAGCTTCTTCCTCCGTCCTAGTCGGTGTCTACACGACTCTGCCGTCACAAGCACGCGAAGTATAACCATACGTCGTCACCAACTCACACCCATTCCTTCGGTTTCTTTGACAGCCAGGTGGCAACACAGTCCAAAGGATTCAGTGGCCAACGCCGTACTTGTGCCCGATAGCCTGTATGGTACTGAATGAGCCGCAAGCAGGACAGCAGCAAAGTCACTTTCGACCCGCAGCCTCAATATCAACTCTGCTGTGCAACAGCAGGCAAACCTGTAACTCGCAGGCTTTCCTTGCTGATGTCGAGTAATATGCTGCTACTGCTAATTTACGGAGGTACAACGAAGGCAGCACACGGTGGCTTGAGTGGCCTGTGCATTACTGACAATGTCAAACAGTTGCGGTTCCTTTTGATATTTTACAAAAGCTTCACTTCCTTTCTTCGTGTAGAGATATTCATTTAAAGAGCGAAAGCGGCCACCTTGCAAGCGATCGATAACCCCCGCTGCTGCTACTCGGCCTGAAAACTTCTTCACCAGCAGCAGCTGCCTCTCCTTCTGCTGCTGCAGGTTGGCCATTGTCTCACGCTTCTCATCCGCAGAAGGTGACAGCTCAGTGCTGTTGCTCCGTGTCCCCCTTTGGCCGAATTCCCCCTTTGGCTTCGAGTTCAAACGCATCCGTTTCAAGCCCCTACCGTCTTCTCCATTGTCGTCTCCAGCTATTTGTTTCCTTTGTTTCCGTGTCTTCCCTTTCGGGGCCCCATGCGTGCCTTCCGTGCTGAGCGGTTGTTCAGCCTGGTGTACAGCATTGAACGTACGCGTGTTCTCCACAGTAGCTTCCACCAGAGGCTGCTGCTGCTGATGCTGTTGCTGGTGCTGCGCGGCGACACTGGTAGCCCGCTGCGAAGTGGTGTTCAGTTGATCGCCACTTGATTGACTTACTGCAGGGGAACAGCAGTGAGACCTCTGCTCCAAGAAGGGCCCAGGCCTAGAAACACTCACACGCGGCCTTCCTGTGGACTCGACACGCCTAGATTTGTAGCGGAGAGACAGCATTGCTACGATTGAAGCAGCCTGCTCAGCCGTCGAAATCTCGGTTGAAATACGGCTTAGCAGAGCGTCGAGGCTCTGCTACGGCCTCCATTCATTGGACGAGCGTAACTTGATATACAACCCGTAAGTAGATCGCTGAGAGCAGCAGAAAAGGCCCCAAAAGATTTGTGCAAGTACGTGGCCTCTACCAACATACAGAAGAGCATGAGCATATGTTCATAGAGGAGACGTACAACTTTGCACGACTCCCTTCAGTCTCTCTGTTGGCTATTACATCTCGTTCAAGAGACACTCTGACAGCAAAGGAGAAATCAAAAGGTATCTAAAAATTCTCAAAACCGCAGTTTTCGGTGGCTCTCCACCTACGTGGCCCTTGATTTGTGGGAAAGCTACGAGCATTCTACGGGGCTGCCGTGGCGCAGAGCCCAGCTACCATGAGGGAGCTCCCCCATCCACTGCGACGATTTTAATTAGCTTTTTATGTTTACGTTTTAAGGGACTCCAGAGTACTGTTGATGCTGTTGTCTGGCGGAAGCCGTTCCCCACTGGAGAGCATTGGGCATGGCGGTGCGCCGGAGAAACAGCTTGGCTGTTTCGGTTTGCTTGTTGGGGATTTAAGTTGCTTTTTATATTGAACTGAGTCTGAAAGGCAAAATGGAAGCGGCAGCTGCTCCAGTTAGCCCACCTAATCCCGTTTTAGGGCAAGATCAGCCGGTTGCCCGGCCTGGATCTCTGAAGGGGAACATTCGCGGTAACGACCGTGAGCTCAGGCTGGATGGAACCTCTAATGATGATGAAAGCCCACAGGTTTCTGATGTCCGCGAAGAAAGGCGGGGACGGGTGTCTCGATATAAGAAGTCTGTGACTGCTTCCTGGGGGCTGGGGGAGGGCGTGAGCGGCAGGATGACGGGGGCTGCGATCCTCGGCCTGCTTTTGCTCTCCATGAGTATCCCTTTTGCGGTATACAAAATGCACCAGGGGCAGATCGGGCGGCAGTACGCGTTCGACGCATTACCTACCCAAGGCAGGGAAGCTGGAGAGCAGCACGGCCAGCAACAGGCAGCGGCGTCCGAGTTCACCGAAGCGACTGTAGGGCACTTTGATGCGATAGGTGTGCCTGTAACTCAAAACTTGCAGGCGACATTTCTTTCCCTGAAGCACACTAGCGATCATGGTCTGCTTTTATCGGTCCGGGATTCGCGGTGGGATTCTGTACGGAAGGAATTCCTCGCTGATTTGGATAGGGTGGCGGAGATACCACCTTCTGTGTTTGAAAACGAATACAAGAGCGAAGAAATTCTTCGACGTATGATGGCCATGGATCTGGCATGTCTAGAGAATGCTGCGGTGGAAACGAAAGTGGCGATTGATGACTTCCGAGCCACTCATAAGGGAGGCTTTTCAGATGAGCTGGCTGAGAAGTTTCAGGAAAACCTTCAGGCGAGGCGCGATCAGGTGAGGGCAGCGGAGTTGTGGGAGACAGCTGTGGTGAATGATTTGCTGGGGACCGATCCCGCCCTGAAGGACAGTATGCTGAAACTTTTGCTTGCCGTACGATCCAGAGCGACGAGCTGCGAATACCTAACTACTACCTCGGCAGAGATACTCTTCCCTTCAGAATCTTCTGCTAGAGGGCATGTGGAAGAAAACCGAGTTTATGAGGGAGTCGCCTACCTCATCAAGGCGGGCCAACTTGCGGCCAGCGACAATTTGATTAAAACATATGTGGCGCCCTGGTTGGCGATTATTTTCACTTCCTTCTAACCACCATTCCGAATTTAACCGTTTCTGCGGCCCAACCGTCGCATGCATACACTTACCGTTTCACTCCAAATTTGCACGGGAGTGCACGGGAATGCACGTCTTCCATTTAACAAGTAATGAGTCGGCCACGAAGCATGCATGGATGCGTGTTCAAAGTGGCTGTGTCTTTATTCAGTTGGGTACAGCAGCTCCACCTCATAAGGTAGTGGCTGCATATCAGCAGGTCTCGATTGCTCCCCTTTGGGCAATCCGCAGTAACACCGACAAACAAAATCTCGTGTAGTTGCCGTCCGCCATGGCCGACATGCACGGACGTGCACTCACAATTACAACTGCAATGATTCCCAAGGGGGAGATATTGTTTCTTTTCTGCATAGGTATTTAAATGGGTGTCACTGCGGAATCGGCTTTTCCGCTGGGAGGAGGCCATTCCACGCAGACCCCTTTCAAGTTGTGCTTTGGCTTCGTTTCTACTGCTACGGTTTTGTGGGAGGGCAAGCTGAACATGCCCAGACAGGTTTAGGCCTTGAGGCAAACGAGCAGTTTCCGGTTGTCCCTTTTACGAGCATGCAGTGAGGCCAACGGGCTTCTGTAGCGTGGAGGGGGAACCGATCGGATGGAAGCGGGATGCAGTCGGGGTAGGTACATGCAGATAGGCTATAGGCATATGGGGTAACAATGAACTACGGGGAGGTGTAACGGAGCTTATCGTGCTGTTCGTAGGTTATTGGCATGGTGTTAGATAACTTCCCGTCCAGATGTTGCACTATTACGGGGGATGTGGGGAGTAACAGATGTAGAAGCTGGGGACATCCAGAGGGCTCTAGTTTGCTGCATTAGTTATTAGCGATTCACCCCTAGCTAGTTGAAGGCTACAGGGGAGGAGCTGTTCCTTAGCAGGGCAGGCAGATACGCTGACTATTACAGCAATAATCTAACTTCCTGATGGGCCTTCGGATCATCAAAAAAAAAGGAAGTTACAGTTAAATGCTTGGACTTATGGGCAGTCGTTGCAGTCCAGTTGCATAGTCGACGGCAATAATCTCGATTTGCAGACGGCACAGGCGCCGCAGTGGGGCTGCCGGCGTTTCATGCTGCATGCATTGGATTTCTCCTGGATGATTTTGGGTGCCATAGTAATCGCATTTACGATTTTTACGAGTAGAAAAACGCTCAAGGACAGGCATAAATGCTCATGAGATGCCTGTAGCTTGTGCCGCTTCCCGAAACGGCCCCGCAGTCACTAGTCCATCCAGAACTTCTGCGCACTAACTGAGACCGGTTCGTCGAAATTGTTGCGAGTAGGGAATGTATGTTGATAGTGAATTTCACCTCTGATATTTGCAGTCCAATACTGGGCAGATCGGCTGCTTTTCAGTGTTTGCGCCAACTCCGTCGATGCACTTTCGAAACATCCTGATTCCACTTGATATTTCTCAAGGCATACGATGCCGCCAACCAGTTTAAGAGCCATTTAAATAATATTTAGTGGCGTGTAATTGCGAGCTCCTCCCCTAGTTCACTACTTTCTCCCCCTCCCCCACCCCCCCAGTTCTGCCCGGTCCCCACCTCTTGATTGGAGAGTTCGCGTGCAGACATCTTCAATGGCGAAGGCGAATCGGGGAGGAGGCAGCGGCCCTGCTCGTCGCCGGAGCTCGTCTGCTGGCCATGGAGGAGCCAAAGAAGGTTCCTCTATGACGCCGGAGGAGGCGTATCTTTCTGACGGTTCTGACGACTTCCTGCCGCTAGATGGAATGGGCAAGAACGACAACTCGAGTGAAGATGAAAGCGCCGTGATGCGTCAGATGGGGCTTGAGGGGGCTGAGCACGCTGCAAGTGAAGAAGAGGAGGAAGAGGAAGATGACGACGCACAAATTAGTTCAGAGGAGTCCGCGTCAGGTGACGAGGAGCCTGGCGATGCATCCTCAGGTGAAAATAGCTGTTCTTCGGTACTTTTCTTTCCCCAATGTTCTCTTTCTCACGTATGAGTCGTTCCTATTGGTTTGGTTTTAGTCCAGTGTCTCTGTAAAACCCCATCGTCGCCAACCGCCTTCAGGTCTGAGTTGCTAAAGGGATGCCCAAGGTTTGGTTGCAGTACAGTGGTTGTAGCGCTCGTTATGGCTCGTGTTTCCGCTTCGGTTTGTTCACCTCAAGTGCCTCTTTGCTATCTCTTGATATTATTCCCCGGGTAGGTGAGGCGTGCAGGGTGAATGCGGCGGTTTGAGGTGTGCAGATAGCGCGGAGGAGAGCCGGACTGCATGGGGCCGCCGGGCGAAAGACTTTTACGGGGAAGGCAGTAGCGATGAAAGTAGTGAAGATGAAGAGGAAATGCAGGAGCGGATGGCGGAGGCGGTGCGCGTAGCAGAGGTGGAGGATGTTGAGGGAATGACGGAAGCCGATTTCAGCGCCGACGCCCGGTCCATAGAGGCCCTGAAGCAGTTGCTCGCCCTGCAGCAAAAGACGCTGGGCTCGAAGGACCAACAACAGCTGGAGCCAGTGGAAGGCAAGGAAGGAACAGAGCAGGACTTGCTTTGGAAAGCCAGACTCGACGCAGTCAGTAACTGCCTTCTCCTAAACCAGCGCAAATATTTCGCCACTCTGACTCATTGTAAACCGACATGGTCGTGCCTGTTGCTCATGTGTATTGTGAGACTTGGGGCTAGAATTTAGCTGGAATTGCGCGGGGGCTTCCTCCAGTCTTCTCGTTGGTTATTAGGAGAATAGCCTGGACTGCTTCGGATTCGTGAATGCATTCACCTTTTGGCGGTGGGGACAGAGGGTTGCACGGTAATTGCATTGGGAGTTTCGTTGTCTGTTCCTTGTATGCATGTGAACTGTTCATCTGCAGGAGGTGGACGCGATAATGGGAGGCTTTTCTACTTCAGCGGAGCAGCAGCAGCAGAAACCGCAGGGCGTTGCTGCAGGACTGGGTGAAGAGGATTTGAAGCAAATTGTCGCAACTGCACATCCCGAGCTGCACGGGTTGGTGAAGGAGCTCCAAGATGCTCTTAAGGAAATAAACAGCAAAGTGGAACCTCTCGTTGCTCTTGCAAAAAGCAGAAAGTTCCTCACAAAAGATGTGCGTCAGGCTTTAAGATACCTGAGAAACACTGATGATCCTTTTCACAGCACTTCTGAGCACGCACCTCTTCCACAAAGATTTCACTACCCCTTTCTCCCCTTTTCTTTCTTTCAGGGCGTTTCACTGTTGGATGCAAAGAACCAGCTGCTGCTCTCGTACTTAAGCTATTTGAGTTATTACATTGTGCTGAAGGCTCACGGGGTGCCTGTGGCGAGCCACCCAGTAATAGAGAGACTCATAGAGTCCCGACTTTTGCTGCAGAAGCTGCGGCCTATAGAGGCTGCCCTGAAACCGCAGCTGGAGAGGCTCCTCAACGACGGTGGCGACAGTAAGCCAAACACTTGCTGTCGTTTAGTGTATGTGTGTGTATATATTTTGTGTATATGCATGTATATATTTATGTCAGAATTAATTTAGATGGAGCCATGCATGTGCATACTTGTCCCTGGGAATTTGCGTATATTCCTGCAAATACACCGGAAGCAGCATATGCCAGTATGGCGCTGTATAGGTCAATTGTCATTGTCCTTAGAGATCTGCCCTGTACGGCGGTAGTGTCGAGAAGCTTAAACAACCTTTGAGTGAATGCTGCTGAGCGTTTGACCATGGTGTGAAGGATCAATTTTAAGTTTGCGAGCTCTGGGCGTGATGCGTTAACTTCGTATTAACTGTCTGTTTGTCATACAAGAGGTCCAGACCTGCTGTATACTGGCTTCGCTGCTTCAACGGGCGCAACTATAGATGCACCATACATAACTTAGGTGCATCATGGCTGTGCACTAGAAGGGCAGTTTGGTTGTGCGCTGCTAAGAATGGTGCCTTACTCTAGTTTTCCTAGCGCTGTGGGGGTTGGTTTTTTGGGCGTTGGTTCTCGCTTATTGGCTACATTGCGGGTAAACGTACGTCTCTCCAATCAAATGCAGGCGCAGCTCCACGAGCCCGGCCCGAGGCTTTTGCTGCAGTGGGTGAATCAGAGGATGAAGAGCAGCAGGGGGAGCTTGTTTCTGGCGAGGAGGAGACTACAGAGGGCGGCGAGTCCGGGGCTGAGGAAGATGCAACAGGGAGCCAAACTCACAGACCGCCGAAAATGGTCTTCATGGAATACACAGGCGACAAAGTACATTGAGCACCTCACACCTTCCCTGCTTTCCGGCCGGGTGTTTGTCTTACAGCGGACACAATGTAAAGCTTGCACATAGGCAGGTAATTTCCACTGAGACTTCTTGTTTGCTTCCCTTTCACTGTCCAGGTCCCTGCGCAGACACGAGCCTCTCGCGAGCTGCAGCGGGCGGCGGAAAGGCTGAAGAAGAGCGAAATGGTTCGCGCAGTGAGGGAAATGACGAGCGATGCGCCAGAAGAAATCGGAATTGAAAGGTTTATAGCTGCTCAGGCGCACCGGGCAGCAGCCCGGGAAGCTGGGTTCTTGCATGATGACAAGGGGGAGGAGGACGAAGAACAGTTTGAACTTATGCGTCGCTCACTCTCCAAAAAAGAGAGAAAAGGTATTTCTGGAACGCGTATGCACACATGGGGGGCGATAGCTTCAACAGAGGAGTGGCTGCGGGCCTTCGATATTTGGATCGGTGCTCCGCGGCTTGTACTGCCTGCACCGGGCTTTGCGTTATTGTGTTCATTAGCCTGTCCGTTGTGCTATTCATGAACTTGCAGTCTATGAAAGGTGTGCCGCTGTGCACATCTGGTAGGACCCATATTAGCTTCCTTGGCGGAAAGTGGATTTTGACGCGTATCTTGACTATATACGGGCGCACCGTGCGGGCAATTGTGTGTTGCTGTCTAGTGGCGCATTTTGCTTGCGTTCGTATTTTGCAGCTCAAGCCGCACAGCGCGCGCTGTTTGAGAGACGAGCTGCAGCTGCAGTGGGTTCCACTTTGGAGGATTTGGCAGTGTTTTATGACCAGCCGTTGGGAGGCGGCGAGGAGGGCGGCGAAGACGAGCTGGGTTTGGGCTCAAACGCCAGAAAAAAGAAGGCAAAAGGCGTTCTCGGACAGTACCTGAATGCTGCCAAACAAGCAGCAGAAGAAGCAGCGAAAACGCGCAGAGCACAGGCAGAAAAGCTCATTATTGCCCGACAGCAGAACCTGCAGCATTTGAGCGGACGGAGTGACAAAGACATCCGCAAGTAAGCCTTCATGCCGTTCCTACCCAGAGGGCTGAGTGCTAAACACTCAAACTGCACTCTGTTGCGTTTTTGTGTCCATATAATTGACGCATAGCCGCCCTCGACGTATTTATGTCGTATATGGCTCGTGTCGAACAAAATATGAGAATGCAAGAGATCCAGAGTGAGATAACTCAAAAGGTATCTTTCTATTCGCAGGCAGCACACAAGAACAGCTGACAGAGAGGAGAGCGACGATGAAGAATTTGCAGCGCTTGCAGGAGAAACGAAGAAAAAGAAGTTGGAAAAGAAGCAGCGGATGAAGGAAAGGGCTGAAATGTTCTTGCCTGAGGTGGAGGAAGAAGTCGACGGGCAGCGGCGTAAGCAACAACTGCCTTTATAGGGTTTAGGGTTTAGCTTTCGGAGTAGTTGGGCTTGAATCGCCCGCAGAGAAGTCGGCGGACAAGAGCCACATGCTGTTTTGCGCCGTCGTCGGACCCGTTTACGTACATTGGTGCAATCTGGTTGCAGTTCTCGTGAGGGTCGATATGTATTTGCTGTTTTAAATGCACACGCAAAATGGGAGTATTGTAACTACAGTCTTCCGATGCACGTTGCGCTTCTGGCGACGTAGGCATTACGCGAGAGATACAAACCAACAGAGGTTTAGTGCGAAAGCGGAAGAAGTTCGATGGTAATGCTCGCGTCCACAACAGAATGAAATACCAACAGAAGGCGAAAAAACTCAAGGTAAGCCAAAGCGGGTTTATACGCACTCCGTGCTATCGAATCAATTGAAAAACAAGTTCTTGTTTGGTGTTTTGCACTTTGCATTTCACTGCAGTGGTCACTGTTGCACTATCTTGACAGCTTTCTGTTGACAGATTGGTTGAATATCTCGCACGTTTGTTGCGCTTCTCAGTCGATTCGTCAGGAAATGCGCCCCGTGGAGGACCGCAGTTACTCGGGAGAGGCATCTGGCTTACGCCCGAATCTGAAACGGTCGAGGACGTTGCATTAGACCTCTTAAATAGCTCGTTAGTTTATCTGCAGGCCCCGGCATAGACACTTCCTTACAGTAGTCCCCCTGTTCGTCCCCTTCGTCTTTTCTCCAGCCTTCCGTCACCTGCGGAGATTTATGGCATGGAGTGACAAGGCATGTGCCAGTCAACCTGCAGTGCATAAAGTGTTCATTGCCGCACTATTTAGTCACTTCTCGGTTCGGTTCGTGCTGGGACTTCGAGGACCACACTCTGCCGACAAACAAGTGGTAAACACACGCTCATTTGCGCGTGCTGTTTTATTTTACCGCCACCTTCGCAGTATTCAATTACTTTAACCTCAGTTCGAGACGAGCAATGGTTAATTTGTACTTAGTTTGCGTTCGGAAAAGACTCAGGGTGTGTCCCCTGCTCACAGTGCACTTTTGGTGCACCAAGTGTAACGGATCGGCATCAGAAACTAAAATTCACGACTATGCCGTCCATAGACTGAAATCTCGGAGGTTCAGGGTTTGGTAGGAAGAAAGCTATCGACCTGCCACAGTCCTGCTATGCATCGCTGCGGAGTTGCCTGGGGTCTCCGCTGCACATCTGTACGTGCAGCTGCGGTCTCCGTTCATTCAAGTCAAGCGGACGGGTTGTACGGCTTGACAGTGATGTCGACGGAGTAGTCATGTTGATCAGGGGTAATATGAACTTCAATAGGTCTCCTGGTGACGAGATCTCCCTTTCTGAGTGTGCGTTCATCATCATTAGGGTTTGCGTAGCCATCCCATCCCAGGTGTACAGACGCCTCGATTGTATATTTAGGGTGCGCGTCACCAGTTGCCGGAACTTTGGCGCACAGGAACGCAGGTACGGGCCTTTCTGGTTCATATATGGGGCTTATGTCCCCAGAAAATAACGAAATTATCTCGGGTTCACCTGTCTCCGCGTCAGTTTCTTTGAGACTAACCACCAAATATGTTGGTTTGGGCAGCGCTCTCGGGGCCCCAATCTGAACAGTGGCCTTCACGGCAATGCCAGTGACATCTTCTGCGAGTTGAGCGAAGTTGCAGTCCGCAACAGAAGGCTCGTTGGTGCTGGTGCTGCCGTCGACCTTCGTCAGGGTAAGATCGGCCTCGTAGCTGTCACTTCCGGCAGTTACAACAGTCTCACCGATGCACTCCACCTTAGCTTCAGCCTCCGGGTCCGTGATACGCCCCTTAAGTGAAATCCTCTTCGCATCCAGGTTGTGCAGGTCAACGCAGAATGCATACGGGATCTCTGAGTCAGGGGTGTACTTTTCAAGGGGGACGGTATGCGTGTAGATTGGCGCCTTCGGCTCCTCTCCCGACGCCGCCTCCTCTGAAACATCAATTGTCAAGACGGCTTCCTTGGAGAGGGTCTCGGGACGATCATTCCCCTCAAAAGTCGCGCGACCCTCGAAGCGGACTTCGCCGTTTGCGCACGGAGGCGGAGCTTCAGGCTCAGCGCGAGCACCCAATGCTGCCACAAAGGCAACAACAATCATCCCCTTGATAGCCATTCTCAAAGTCGTATAAACCTGTAATCGAAAGCCCCACACTCAGTGCAGAAAACGAGTTTCAAGATAAGGGAGGCGGGGCGTCGCCGAAATCTGGCAGGACACAAGACGGCAGGTTTCACACACGCTGGTGGGAGAAGGCAAAACTTGAACCTAAAGCGCAGGACGTGAGAAGAGGAATTCTTTCTGGATTCGTGAACAACTTCCACAGAAATGCGCAATCAATGCCGGTTTTGGAGGTTGAGGCGGTACTGAGCAGCTGCAGTGAAAGGCATAGACAGTAAAGAGTTTGAAATGATACAAAATATTATTCTCTCACCTGTTATCACTGGAGTATATTTTTGGAGCAATTTATTTTATAATGCAACTCTATATTGGTACACTTGTGCCGCTAGTCGGTCAGCGTGACCGCCGGTGTCAGGTGGGGTGCCTGTCAACCTATCGCTCAGGCCGAACGCTCCGCCGTTTATATCAAGATTCACCTGGCAGACACAGATGACTGACGGGACTGGTTTAAACATCCCGTTTTACATATCAGTTGGATTTTAGTATGGTGTACGAGGCGTATTTCGGATAATTGCGCCCCTACATTTTGCTGTGACGAAGAACTTCATCCCAGCGATGAAATTCTTTCAGGAAAATGCAACTCGTGGCGCCGGTGTTAGAATAATGGCCCATACATTGAAATTGCAGCATAGATCAAGACAATTCGTCTCCTATTGTGCAACTTGGATGATTTTGTGGGCCATTAGTGGACTTTTGCGTGTCAGTGCACGCCCCTCCTTCGGCGAGACCCTGAGACAGCCAATAGCACAACCAAGTAGGGTGAGCGTGACAAGCACAGAGCACGGGTTTTCTGCTAGTCAGGTAGCATAAATGGTGGCTGTAGAAGAGAGCGAATAATCATATCAGTGAGGGTTTGACGGAGCTGCACCTCACATATGCGTGTTCTGCCGTAGAAGAATGCTTCCCCGAGTGCCCTCCGCTTTATAGGCTCCGACACAGAATTGGTATACTTTACGCTTTATTGAAAGCATCATACTTCATCAGATTTCGGTGGTCCCTTGGGAAGCTGTCCAGGGACGTGGGTCTGGTGCAGTGATGAAGTTGGCTCTCCTTAGCTGCAGCTCGCCTAACCGCAGCTCCTGCTCCAACGTATCCCCACAAACCACCAGACCAGACCACACGCGAAGCACGTTTTGATGCCATATTAAGCTCTTCAACACCTGCGGAGCCCTCAGTAAAGCTGCCAACTGTAAACAAAGCATGGTGTATCTGTCGTCAACATTTCCCCCCCACCCAAACGCGTCTGTCTAGCTGGAAAACTAGGAAATGAAGGGACTGAGCGAACCGGAGGAGAACGCAGAAGGTCACTGAGCGAAGAAAGGAGAAAAAAGCAGGTAAAAAGCAAGGGGGACAGTGACATGCAATGGTACGTGTGCTGCGCCATTTTGTTGGTGCTGCCTACCCTACCCTACAAGTGTTATGAACCAGCGTACTGGCGTGCCCCTTAGATGTGCCAGGGCCTTTGTGCAGTACTCCTGTATTAGTAACCAGTTCTAATGCGCACATCAAAACCCAAACAGAAATGTATAATGGGCCGCCGTCGGCCATCGACGCAAATGTTGCGTTAAATACGGTCCAGCAGTCCCAAAAATAGGGGATTGAGCCCAAAATGGTAGGCGTGTCTTGGAGTTGCGAAATCCAGGTCACTGGAAAATTGAAAAGCGCAGATGGCTGCAGAGAAATCATCTCCAATTGAGAGTGCGCAGGTACATAGGTACGGGAGCCTCTATACCAACGGTAAAGAAACAGTCTACTCGAAAATACGCTAACCCTTTTTCCTCTTGGGCATCGGCTTGATTGTAATGACCACGGCTCAGTGGAGGGCAACGAGCAGACGCTCCGCAGAAATTCAATTTATCCCCTCAAACCGTTGTTAAAAAACAACTTGGTGTCGGCTACTTGCCCCTCCAGATAAAATTTTTCGTTTTTTGAAACCTGTGGGCTTCGTTACTGGTTTGCATAGGGCCTCAACCCCCGCTACAGCCTTCTCTCCGTCGGGAAGAACCCGATAAAAATCTGCTGAGCGAGGGGAAAAAGAGAGCACTGTTGATATATTTTAGAGGGAATATCAAACGAGCGTCTGGGGAAAAGACGTTCCACGACTTGCCAATGTTATGAGCCAGGCCGTGCTTCTGTGCTACGGGTGGCCTCCTGGTCTGTCCCTATAAACAATGCGGTGATAACATGTATATCTAGGTTTGTAAATTGCCGATCTGATCAGAGGTGCCTCCTAAGAGGCAAATGGGCTAAGCAGCATACGGGACAAATTCGCAGAAACAACTTGGACTGTGGACGAATGCAGACGATTCTACAGCCTGTCTTACCACAGCCGCATAAGTGGTTGGTTCCACTGAGAAGTGGACTCAGCGTGTTGCATGATGTGCAAAGCTGTTTGCTTCAACTCTTGCTGCAAACCTGCAACCAGGTACCCATGTTCCATTTGGCGCATCCAGTAAGACTGTATGCAATTGTTAAACGCTAAGTGATCTTAAGTAGTTAAGATGCTAGAAATATGTGTACCATGTTTCAACGACGAATACGCTATGCGGGTTCTGAATCATGTTCAAGGAATATGGTGAGTTACAATGCGGCCGAAATGCTTGACATCCTGTAAAGCAGCTGATCTCCCAACCCAGTCTACATGGGGCCTGTACAGGTGGCCTCAATAGCCTGTCGATGCTGGAGAGTTCGGGGCCGTTCATGAGTTGCCATGTATCTTGCTGCAGCTCAACGTGTATGGTCACCCCACTTACCAGCAGAAACAAACCTTCGTGAGCGTTTGTACACACATTAAACAGTTCTTGAAAACGTTTGCTTGCGCATCACTTGCCTAATATGGCCGGGTAAGAGTTCATATTCACTCTTAAGAGATACTTTCCAATGCCACACAGAGTAAGCTACATAATGCAACACACGGTGGTAACAGAACAATGCCGCCTATTGCCAGTATGCCTCCCCATTAGCTGAGATGTGTTGAGACCTGCCAGTATGCCTTCCCATTATCTGAGATGTGCTGAGACCAAAGTGCCGCTGTTACACACCGCGAGTGTAGGCATACTTTCTACGCACCAAAGTTGTTAGTGGAATTGAGCAGATAGATGTAACTCTTCAGTGGTGACAGGAGGTTGGCCAAGAGTCGCTAGGAGCCAGGCAACCAAATCATGGCTAGGCATGGCTGAGGGAACAAATAATTTCTATTTGTCAAAAAACCCTTTCGCCGCTCCAGCGTATCGATGTCCCAGCATAAGTAGGTCCCCCCAAAACATGCAAAGTCACCACACAAGTGGGGCTGACACATACTGAGGGCACGGCGAAAGCGGGTTGTTCACTATCCCCAAAACAGCACAAACAAGTTCAATCATTGTTTTCCCCCTTGTTCTTTACGGTGGAACTGCTCTCTTGTCTAAGTGGACGTCCATCACTGCTCGGTGTTTCCGCAGTGACGAACGCGAATCGTCGCCTGCATGCATCGGGGTTTTCGAGACACAAGAGGCACTGGTATGTTCCTCGAATACATATTATTTGTGCATACTTTGAATCCTGGCCGCTGAAAATATGGTGTATAGACTACTCGGGTTGCTCTTCTGCAGCACGGGACGTCCGTTGGCGCCTGAACAGCAACTGACTTGCCTGGGAGTGCTTTGGGGTTGCGTCCGCTTCCAGGCGTCTTGCTGTTGTAGCTTGTATGCGCTTTACCTTTGATTCAACTGTAATATGGGTACAACAGTAGTTAGCATTGACGAGGGTGCGGGGGAAACTGCCGTGGGGAAGTGCCTTCTGCTATGCTGCGCACAGGTGAAGATGCATCGCGCGGATGATGAGATGACTCACGGGAGGAAGGTGTATGTGGGTGCGTTTAATTGCAGTTGCCTAATTAGTTATATCATTCTACGGGTTAATTCCTCCTGCTGCGCACGCATCCAGTTCACCCTGCATGTTTCACTGGCTCCTGCGGTGAACTGAAGGACTTCCGTGATTCGCCTTGGCATTTTCAGGAAACCTCGACCCCGAATCCACTTCTACGGAACTGGAGGAGATCTTCAGACGTTATGGGAAGCTTAGCAATATTTGGGTGGCGAGGAACCCTCCAGGGTTTGCTTTTGTGGTGCGTTTTCATTGAATGACCACCTCCGCTTGTTTGAAATGTTGGCTGGTTGCGCGGCAGTTAAAGGGATGCAATATGTACACTTCCTGTGTTTTTCTGTTTGTTTGCATTGAAGACCTTTGAGGACATGAGAGACGCCAGAGACGCGGTGGAGGCCACAGACGGAATCCTGCATCGGGAGAAGTAGTGAGCCTTTCTCGTTTTTGTTATCTCCCCGATCTGCAGCATAGCGCATGCAAGTTGAGAGGCGAGGCGCTCGCATCATGCGAAGGTGCCTCTGGTCTTAGGATCGTCGCTCCACTTCACTTCATTTCCCCCGATTCTCCTCTGCCCACCTGCCTGCGTATACGGGGGCCTGTGGCAGTTGGCTGTCCCGTACACCGAATTCACTCAGCCTCAGCCTCCTGCCGTGCGGTGCTTTCTTCTTATCTTCCCTGCGTCTGCCACTGCGCTGCGACTTAGTTGTCGGGTAAACAGGTTGGATGCGGCTGTTTTTGTACAACGATATTTACCTGCAGTGTGGAATGTGCGCTTGTTGTCTCGCGGATCGGAGCATGCAATGCTGCTTGCCTCCTGTCATGCAAATGGCGTACACAATTTGCGCTTTTTCTCTTCGACACCTTTGCCAGCCACCGTGTTGTCAGTGTTTGCGGCTCGATGCCGGTTTTTTTCACTTGGGAAATTTGAGGTTTCCCGACTGGGGGTGCTGCAGCGCCGCATGCCAGGCGTCGGTCATTCACCGTTAACCTTCATCTGAGGTGTTCGTACGTTGTGCAGCCTTCGCGTGGAAATCGCCAAGGGGCCCGGCGCCAAAGGACGCCGTACGAGCCCTCCGGGGAGGAGGAGACGCGGCTCTCCGGACGGTTCCCGGGGCCGTGACACACGCCGCAGGTGCGTTTCGTTTTTGCGTTTGTTAGGCAGCTTATTTTGTCCTGTAGGCGCTGGATGTTGCATGCATGCAGCTCCATCCGATGCTGTTGCTTAGGTTGTGCGTGTCGTTGCACCGCAGTCCTGGATACAGCAGCGAAGGCAGCGACTACAACGACTACCGCGGCCGAAGAGGCCGAAGCCGCAGCCGCAGTGCCGACAGACGACGCTCCTACAGGTCTGTTAAGTCTAGGGGTTTGGGGTGTAATTTGTGAGCGTAAGGTGACCTGCCAGCTGGATGCTATGGTGAGGTTCCCACTCGTGGTCGGTTCCAGCTGGTAGCGCATTTCGCCCGTGCCTGATGGGGTGCATACACACGTTTTCTTTGTCATCACGTGTTTTGTCCCTTTGCTGCAGTCCGCGTCGCCGGGATTACTCTGACGACGAGCGGGACACGAGGGGAGGCCGGGGCAGGAGATGAGACGGAGTGCAAGGACGCAGAATACCGAAGGGCATCATGAGGCCCAACGGTTTCAGTGCTGTCGGTTCTTCTGTAGTGTTATGCCCGTGTTAATACTGGCAGCTCGCGGGTTACGGTATCAGTGCAGTCGGTTGCATGAATGCGTTTAATCTGCACGGGAAGCCCTGAGGAGTGTTTAGGGCTCTCGAGCGACGGTGCCAGAAGTGCAGCGTCTGCAGGTTCCGATAAAACAGGGTAGTGAAGGGACACATGCTGTTCCGCAAATTTACGCTGCCACGGGTTTCGGGGGCCGTGTTGAGCTGAGTTGTTCTGTGCTTTGCTGCGACCCCCAACAGATGCCTTCTTTTTGGTGTACTGTTGCCGTTGGTAGGTTTGAGGCGGTGGGAATTAAGGGTGTCGGTATGCAGAGACATAACCCGTCTATTGCTGAACTTAGCGTCTGCTGATGTCGACGCTTTTTGTAATTGATTCCGTCAAGTTTCTCCTCGTAGGATGGCAGTAGGGAGGCGGGGGGCATAGTCGGCTGTAGCTTGCACCAGTTATAGATGGCCAGCCTCAAGAGTATAGAAGTAGCTGCAGGGCACAGTTGCTCGCAAGCTGGATCCAGAGTTAGCAGTGTTGAAGACTGCCTTACCTTCCGTCCACCTCTAGTCAGCTGGAGTCAGCTGGCGACGGACTATGCCGAGTTGGTACGTGCATGTCTGTCCCAATGCACTGGCATGTGAAGCCACAAAGTCTGAGGCGTCTTACTGATGGAGTAACTCGAGAGCAGTTGCACAACCCATTCGACTTCGGGGAGACGAGGTGGTTGGAAGGCGGGGAGGACAGAGCTTGGGGATGAGCAAACAGAGTTGTATTGCGCTTCTGTCTTCCTCACTGTCTGCGTTTCGTTGGAAATGAGAAGTATAATTGTACAGAGAAGAAATAAAGAGAGTTTGCATTGCACACAATTTGCGAAGATTGCTGTGACTCTGAAGGCGTAGCTGTGCTGCTCCGGCACGCTGCCGTCGGCTGCGGGATGTTTTGCAGAAGTACGGGGGGATGCGCTAGTTTAAAACCCTAGACTGCACACTTGAATTCACGAGAACTAACCAATAAAATACCCACAGAGTTGCACAGAATGTCCGATGACGCGTGCTGAACTATGCAAGTCTCGAGCCCTCGAAGAACGCTTGACCAAAGAAGTATTGTGAGAACTGAACCTTGCGCCCAAAGGAAACGTCTCTTCAGTAGCTAAACCTTGTTTCTGTTCTGCGAAACGTCATTGTTTTTGCTACATACGGGGTGTGCAGACTCTTCCAGTCTGGCAAGGACTGGTGCCCATCGATATCATTCCATCATATGATCAAGGCGCCTTTTCATCGTCATCAAGGAGTTTCGCAGATACTCCAACAGTCCTTAGTATTCTCTGGAATATACAGGGCGCTTAAATGCCTCCAAGGGGGTCTGCACACGGAATCCGGATGTTATGCAATATCACGGAATCGTTAGCAGCGGTTTCTATCGAAATATCGCGCTGCAAACTCTACAGCCGACACTGATGTGGACAGTGCAGGAGACTTATGTTACCCTTTTAGTCGTACATCGCAAGCGCAAGGAGCCGAAGGAGAATCCATCCCCTACAGGACAGCAACATATGCGTCACACATGTTGCTCCTGCCAGCCCCCAGTGCCAGGGCCACGGGTGTCTTCTACAGAAAATTTTACAGTACGCATAGTAATACAGTGATGAGAGGACTACAACCAGCTGCACCTGCACGGAGATTAAAGATACAAGGATGGCGACAACGGGAGCGTCAAGTGCTGTGCCTGCACAATCGGGAGAACATGAAGAACGTCAACAGCTGCCGCAGCGTGTTACGGCGCATCCAAAGCTGAAAGAAACGATAGGTACGCTACCATTCCCTCCCAGCTTAAGTATAACAATTCAAAACAAAAGAGCTGGACAAGACAGCAGAGCCCCCACGGTACACGGATGCCAGCAGTTACGGAACAGCTCGAACTGTTCGCCAGGCGGCATGCACCTCTGCATCTCTCATGCTTTTGCCTTCCACTTCAGATGCTGCTGGTTTAGCAGTGCACAGTTCCCCCTTGGATAGGATGAGCGAAAGGGTTAAAGTACGGTCTCAGAAAGTCAGCGACGTGTTGCAGCGGCTGCGTCGCTGCTCGTGGGCATATGCACACAGGCTACTGCGGCTGAAGAAGGCGTTTGTCGTCCCTCAAGAGAGGTTAGGAGGAGACAAATTGGGCCACAGGAGCAGCGAAACCTGTTATTGCCTTCGCTTACGTTAATATGTTATGGGGTGTGCGGACGAGATGAGCTGCTTTGTCTTGCCCCACATGCGCATTCCCGGGTGTCTGCAAGCAGGTGAAGTGAGTAGCTGTTCTCGCGGAACTGATAGCTTGTTATGTAATATGATTTGCAGAAGCATCTGGAGGCACGGAATATACTATTTGTTGTCGCTTCAGGAGCCTAGCGGAGCATTTGAAGCAAGTGAACGATGCGAAAAACAGAAAACGCGTTGCTTCTGGGAAGTTTCTGGAGCCAGGGGCGACGCTGTACTACCCTTTCATGAACAGGAACAATAGAATCAGTAACAGCAGCACCACCACTGCACGTCACGACTGCTTACAGCAGCAATGCGCTAAGCAGGAACTTGTGTTGTTTGAGGATGAAGATTTCATTGCATTGAACAAACCCTGCGGTGTCTCGATCGGAAAATTGATCGTACGCTGGCTTTTGCATACATGCAGAAGGATTTGTCTGCATACACATATAGAGAAAATGGGAAGGCATGACTGTGCAGTGCTAAAAACAGCAACAACATTTAGAACAGCAGGAAAGAACAAACACAGAAGATATGGTTGAGGTTCCGTCGAGTCTGAATCTCCGCTGATGTTGTGCTGCAGCAACAGCTGGCCATCGAGCGGCCGAAGAATTCGGCTTTATCTGCAGAGGGAGCAGAGGTGCGCCGGGAAGCACTCTTGTGTACTGAAGTGGCATAAGTTCGTTCATAAGTTTACCTGCAGCTCGTCGGATGTTTATGTTGTGAACGCCCTGTACATTTCAGACTGAGACTTTTTGAATTGACGGCTTCCTACCACTGCGTTCTGTAGTGCAGGCCCCAATTGCACTGACGTTCCCGGGCCATCACTGCAGTGGCGCGACTCTGCTATGTCGTAGCCGCGCTGCTGCCTCAATTGTTCGCAAGGACATGGCTGAGTGAGTATATTGATTGCCTTTTCTTCTAGCCCTTACAATATTCATGGAACTTCGTGAAAACTCTGTTTTCGGTATGTTGATTCCGTGCGCAACACACACAAGGTGAGGTGAGGGAGGCGGGTGTGTAAGGACCCAGGGACGGGTCTGTATCGTGAAGGCATCCATCTTGCTTCATACGGGTGTAGTGCATCCATTGCATGCAGCGGCGGCTTTGGGTCATTGAAGTTTATAGCCGTCGTGGACGGAATTCCACTCGGACACAAGGGAACCGTGAACATCCCTTTGCGTTCAGAGCAGGTGGGCCTCGTGAAGCGGTGATATGCGTGCCCATAGAGCAAGGGCTTCAATGACTGTTGTGTGTATCACTGTTGTTGCCTAGGGATGAGGTGAGTGCCTATATCCAGCTAGCAAGGCTCCTCGAATGATTTGCCGCTTGTACGCTGCGCAGGCCATCGGGGCTGCTGCTCCCGCAGCAACGCATCCCGTAGGGTCCCTAGCAACTACGAATTGGAAGCTGTTGCGTTCTGTGAAAGTGACGACTTCCGGCCCTAGCCAGAAATTTCGTAGCAGCTTCGATTGGGGATACCCTCAGAGCCTTTCCATCCTTCTGTTGGAGACATGATTCGATCTTCGCCGCCACCAAATTTGTTCGCACTGCGCTTTTGGTGTGATACGAAAGCAGTTCGATGCGTCACTATCACCGTTGTGCTGCACTAGTGTTGCACCGGCTGTGGGGCTGTTGGCTCTGTCTGGCGGTTTTTTACCGTCATATCGCGTAGAAAGCAGAGAGCTGCATTACCGAGACTGTGAATTACTGCAGGCCTTCGCTGTCCATTGAAGGGAGATAGACTATACGCTCAGATGCTGCAAATGTGGCAGAAGGCAGAACAAATAGCAAAGGGGTCGGGTGCTGAAGGCTGTCTAGATGCGGTGGATGCAGAGAAACTCATGCACCGAAAAGGAGTGGTCGCTCTGCCCTTACATCTCAGGCGAATACAGTGGAGAACATTCGCAGGTGAGGTTCTTTATGGAGCGCTACGAGATCAGCCATAGGTGTTTTGTTGGTGCTCTGAAAACGTCACAAGGCTAGCACAAACACCCGCGAAACTTTCAGCATTTGAGTCTCATCCACTGTATTCAGGTAAAGATGTAGCTGTGGAAGCTCCCCTGGGAGAGCATTTGCTTGCCGCACTCCAGGCATTCGGGCTTTACGATCGAGAAACTATTCAGAAACAGATCCGTAATTGGCTGCGTTTGCCACCTTGACGATTCCAGTAGTTGTGCCTGTCTACGAATTTTATAATATAGACTCATACATTTTTGTAGTTAAAGACACGCAAGGTGGACATCAGCGCCTTCCAGGGCATTCGAGGGAGGCTGTATCACTGGTAGTTGCATGCCCCCGGTTGTTTGATGCATGGAACTGCCGGGTTAACTATAACCCAGTCTCAGGATATTAGATTTAATTTAAGCTTGGCTCAATAACTGCCTGAGAGCTACGACATCTTTGAAGTTGACGGAGAGCGTATTGTACGGTCGATGTGGATGAGACAACACTGGGAGGCTTTACTATTAACACATGACTATAATAATGAGTTGAATAAAACAGTAAAATTAGCTATCTCAATAGGGGATTAGGCAACTACTGATTGTTTCAAGGGCTAAACAACGGCATTGATGCGCCATTTCCCTGCGGAGTACTTCTTCGTTATTGAGAGTCGCAAATAGTCTTGAAGGCTTAATATTTAAGCGTTCACGAGCATACACACCTTTGTTCTATTCCCTTAACATCTGAATTCGTAGCATTCAACTCTTTATCTCCCCCGTTGGACGCAACCTCAATGCCAGCATGCAGTCAGCAAACCGCCGTGGGGCCAGTTGACGTGCTACTATACCCTTCTACTTAAAAAATGAGGCTTTATAGAAGCTGTAATAGAGATACTGTTTGGACGACATGAGTTCTCCTCTTCTCGAGTCGACAAGCAACAGGCATCATGACTAAGCAGCATACCGGGCGGCTGTGACCACCAGCCACAAGCATGTGGACGTGAGCTGCATCTGATCTTCTAAATCAAATCTTTTAGTAAGCCCACTTCCTATTCTTTGTGAATTTGTTTGGAAAATCGCATCTCACGGGAGACGTACTCAGTGTGAATTCGTGTACCGGTGCCTCCTACCATCAACGGGCAAACTTGCCACAAATTTACTACTTGTCTTTCCCTGTAAACCTGAGCTTCATGGTTCTTTCGACGCTTGCACACCATCAATAAATTCCTTTGCCTCCGTTTTGACCGGGGGCCGGAGGACTTCACTCTCTCGCACTCTGTCATACGAAGACAGGGAAAATGGCGCGGGTTCATACTTTAGCAGACCTGGAAAGGCAGGACAAAAGTGCGCAGGGGGACTCTCAGACGTACGGGGGTGCATTGCCATCGATTGCATTCCCCACTGGCGATTCCCCTCCTTCGGGGCGTAGCCTCGTGGAGTGTCTGTTGCCGAAGTTCAACGCGAAGCACTGCGTCTTTATCTTGGCCGTCATTGATCTCATAGTTTACATTGCGACGGTAATCTACGGGCAGTCTCCAGATAACCCCACAAGCCCATCCATGTGAGCAAAGCTGCGGTAGGTGCCGCAGTCCGCTAATTTTCTCCCACTAGCTGCATTCTCTGGGACATATTGGGTTGCTGCAAACTCATCCTCTTCCCCTATGCTCACCTACTCAGTTCAGGTGGTCTCATCTTTAACAGGTGTTATTTGGATATTACATCGCTGTGAGATTTTGTGCAGTTCTTCGCTGATTACTTTCGGCGCCAGTATTCCGAGTGCGATAAGACGAGGTCAGATATGGCGGTTAATATGTCCGGTGTTTCTACATCTAAACATTCTCCACCTTTTCGTAAGTTGAACTCCAAATTGGCATACATGAGACTCCTACGATTCTCAGGTTCCCCCTTGTGCTGCTAAGGGGAAATATCACGCACCCCCAATCTGCAACAACGGTGTGCTCCTTCATTTCTCTGTGCTGCCGTGGCCCACAGATCAATATGTTCATGCAGATCCGAATTGGAGCCTCGATTGAAGAGAAGTGCGACTTCGTCTTCTTAGGAACATCATCACTTTCTACACTCGGTGGCTCTGGCCAGCAATTACCCTCCAGTAACAGTTGTGTGCATATATTTATCTGCGGACTAATGCCAGGATGTCTCTGTATCAGTGGTTAGTCTGTCAAAGGTAGGAGTTGAGCAGTTCAGTGTGCAGGTTTAGGGTGTACGTACAGGTACGGCACGCGTCGGATATGCGTGGCTTACCTCGTATGCGCACTTTTGGGGAATTTGGTCTCTGCTGCCACCTTCTTCTGCAATGCGGTACGACTTTGTCCGTTTGCTTTTGCATCTCGTCTCTTTTGTACAAATGATCTAGGAAGCAGGGGCGCGACCTAGCTCGTTGTAGTTCATGCTTGTTTATTCCACTTCCTTGCTGTCGGTAAATAGCGCAGTAAGATTTCAAGGCCTCCAAATAACATTTCTGGGTGCGCAGCTGAAGGTAGGATCGTCTACGGCGATTTTCGGCCTAATCGGAATTGATGTGAGTTTCCTGAGCCGGTAGTTCTTTTCCAGCATCGCATGAGTACTATTTATATGGTTATGGCCACTTACATAGAATGCCTGGTAAAGGTATTAACAACTGCCGTCTACGTAGGGTGGTTGGAGCCGTTTTAGCCAGTATAAACTTTTTCATTGAACGTTTGCTCTCTTTACTGTGCAGCTAGCGGAGTTGTTGGTGATTTGGCATTCCATCGAAGACCGACGCCCGGTAGTGTTGCAGCTTGTGTAGGTATTACGGCATGCCTCCTTGTTAAGTGCAGCGTGCAATACTTGCAGCCTGCAGTACCATTATGGAAGCGCACTCCATCTAGACAAGCTCAACAATCTAAAATATCTGAGATGCTGACAAATGTGGACGAGCGAAGCATGCGTGTTTGTGTCTTTAGACTTTTCGGTCTCCTCTTTGTTTTTCTCTCCATAGGTAGTGCTACAGGTAGGGCACTCTTTGGCACATATATCAGCAGCACGGCAGGCAATGCAGACTCCAACAAAATTATTTACTGTTTAAGTATTCGAAAACAAAACGATGATGAATTGTGGACTCTTCTGGTTGTATCATTCACACCCAGTTGCTGCAGCATTGTCGTCAGCTATTAGTTGCAAACACATACAGTGCTGTAGAAACTGGGTGTGAAAATACCGGGTGGTGATTTCTTGCGCTTCTTCATTTTGTCGTTGCAGACGTCGTAGGCCATTTGGCGGGGATGGCCGCTGGCCTTTCCTTCGGTTTGGTGTATAACAGCTCGAATCCTCAGGGTTCCCCGTAAGGCCCTCCTTGATTCCAGTTAATGAGCAGCGTACTAATGAGCAGCGTACCATCTCCCTGTGTTTTTTGTGTAAAAGTAGCCGCTTCATTGTTGCCTTTTCGGTTGATCATGCCTTATTTGTCTCGCAGAGCTGTATTTTGAGATAGTGATAGCCCTGTGTCACCCAACTGAGCTCTGTTCGCATGCATCGTCTGCCGTTTTTTTGCTGGGTTCTTGTTTGTTGTTAGGCATGTCGATGTCTATACTCGCATCAGCTACGCATTCAATGCTGTCATCGTGGGTGTCTCGGTGGTAGCCCTGTGGTTCCTCCCCCGTAGTTGCGCCTGAACTTCCATTTGATTCTTCTTGCGATTCTGCGTTACAAACTACCAGTAGGAAACTCAGCAGCATAAAGCCACTACTAACAACAGGGCAACAACATCGAAAAGCAGCACCGACAGGCATCGCCACAACAACTATATTAATACTGTCTCAACGACAAACAAACCAAGGTTGGCAACAGCAGCAGAGAAGGGAACAGGGGCCCGCGGGCCTGATGGCTTTTTTAAGGGTGCCTCTTTTAAAGTGGAGCGAGCACTCGCCAACCTCTGTTGCTTCGCGTTTTCGTTTGTGGTTTTCCGGGGTCTCTTCGCTTGATACTGGTGCCAAGGGGCCGTCGTCGCTTTAGATATGTGTGCAGGGCCTTCAGTGGGTCGTCGTAGACAGACAGAAGCAGAAATGCACAATGGACGGCAGGACGGAGGCACCTGTTTGCATCTGAGCACTGCTCTGGTTGAATGGACCGTCTTAATAATGCTACAACGTGCTTGCATTTATAGTGCTGTTATGCAGAGACTAGGACTTTGTGTAGGTTGCTGCTAACCATACAGGAAACAGCTGTAGCAGTTTCCGGTGTTACAACAGCACAAGCCTCTTAGCAGGCTCCTTGATGCAGCACAGATGCAGAAGGGGGGAACTGAAGACCAGTGGGAACAGTTCTAAGCTCGTTGAGTTTATTTTTCGCATTTCCTGAAGTGGATGCCGTGTGCCTGGGGCGGCGATAGTCGAGTTGTGATGCACGCAAAATGCTTAGGACAATTTGGAGGAAGCATCTATGGTGCCCTCCTTCCATTGTGCATGCTGGCTACTGCAGGAAAAAGGCGTAAGTCGGTTAGTGGGGAAGTGTAGTTCGGTTGAGATTACTTGCAGCACCTAGCGGCAACTCCTACTGCAGCTCAAAACTATACGGGTTTGGACCCTAGCAACATATATACGACTTTTGTTAGACATGTATTCTGCCTCACTAGCCAGCATGCATGCAAGTAGGAATGGCGATGGCGTCTACTTGACCCGACGCCTGCTGCAGGTGTTCGTTGCCTAAATTGGGAGGTTGGCGCCCACGCCACGCCCTCCTCGCCTACCCAATGTTGATGTGCTGCTGTGCTGCCGAGTCTGCGGGGCTTCCTTCCGCCGTAGTCTATGGAAGGGATTACTTAAATGCACAACATGTGGGCAGGAAAATGCAGCGTAACAATCTCATTTGTGCTCCTCCATGCACCTCCAAGCCACCAGCGTCTTCAGATGTTTCATAATCGAGGTTTGGGCACCTGGTCAAGCACGAAATCGGGCAACAAAAAGTAAACTGTAGCGGTGGACCTCGAAGGTGTTGAAATTAATTGTCACTTTTGGTAATTTTATTGGCTTCTGTTTCTAATTATTAGTTTTCAACTGTGTCCCACCCTTGTTGCATTAGGTCTAAATATTGAAAGGAATGCCATGATGCGATGCGTGTTCATGCTGAAGCCGTTGGGCCCCATCATTGCCGATTTTGCAAAATGTGTTATTTTTCACTGACTTTGTATATTCACTACATTTTCACAAATACTAATTAGCCATTGCGTAAATGTTCAAAGAGAATCTACCTATCGTCCTGATGAGTAAACGTAAAGCCGCGGAGACTGTAGAGCAGCAAGACGTAGAATCCAGGGAATACAACGCATTGGAAAAACCGGGCTGTTGCGCCCTTGTTCCCCCTTAGTTCTTCATTCTTATTCCTTACCCAATGTCTGAAAATTTGATCACTGAGAAACCAGGAACTTCTGATTTCTCTGTTGCCGTAACCAATCCCGATTTATTTCCGGATGAACTGAAGGCAGAAAACATAAGCACCTGGATCGCCACAGGGTGAGCGTAAAGGACTTCATTCCATTAAGGATAACCATTAACCTTTTCATGAAATTATTGATCCTTTACTTCTTTTCATGCCTCCAATGGAGGACGTAGCTAACAGCAGCAGCCCAAATGCAGGCGGTCCGTGCACCTGCAACATTTGTTTGCTGCACCCTCACCTAAAGGAAGCTCTAAGGCGTATGCAGCCGCCTGAACTGCGGCTATACTCCCGTACTGAGCTGCTGGAGCTACTCGAAAAGGACATTGCCAATGCCTGCGATGAGCAGCAAAAGCAAGTGGTGAGTTTCACTCCGCTGAAACTCACAGTACACCTTCGCTACCTGTGTCGACAGGACGTGCAAGTGCGAGTGTGGCGGTCGAGCATTCGTAAGAGTAAGAGCAGCTCGTCCACCGTGTTTTATAGCGCATGGCTCTGACCTGCTTACACCCCATAACAGGCACTTGAGTGATGAAGTCACGCAGGCAGTAGCATTTTCTCTTTTCACTAAATTTTGTCGTCTAAGCTACAGGTTCTGCGAAGACTGGATGCACACATAGAGGGTGGATGACGCAGGCTGCATCTGAAGAGAGTTGGTGGCATCTCTGTTCAGTAGATCCGACGTTCCCCTTTTACGTTATTCCCACGTAAGCAAGAAACACAGGTGTACAGTGATGATGCCATTCACGTTCCTGAGCAACGGCTGCCGCTGTTGTTAAAGGACGCATTTGTGTGCCTCCAAATACTTCTGCTAGGTTTCTAGGGTTCCATAGTACTGACTCTGCTTGAGTGCTTCACCTTCGTATTGAACTGGAACGTCAATGTTCCGATGTTTGTGTCCTTTCACCCGGTGCGTAATATACCAGCGCTTTGTGCAACTCAAACTCAGGAAAGAATTTGTTGGTGCCCTCGCATCGTATTTGGCTAGTCGTATTAAATTCATTCGAAGGGAAGCCGGCAGGGCTGCACACAACCACCGCTGTAATGCAGCTGATGCACCAGCAGCAAGGAGCAGCAGCAGCGGCTGCTGCAGCCGCAGTTGCTGCAGTCGTTGGGACCCAAATAGACCCATTACTATATTGGAATGTGGAGCTGGCACAGGAATTCTAGCCGCTCACCTGCTACCCCTGCTGGAGGAGCAGCTCCAGACATTTCAACAATCTGAGAGCATCACGACACTTAGCGCGAAACAGCAGCAACCCCACCAGCATGAGGAGCAGATATCGGAGCCATCTGGGCAGGTGCAACCGCTTATTGGTCTACAAGCCACCGAAGCACTTCTCAGTCAGGCATTCAGCGATGGCAACAGCCCAGATATTCCCACACAATCCGCTGACGACTCTGCACAAACAGCCACGAGTGCTGCTCCTGTCTTTTCTTACGTTGCATCGGAACCTCGAGTGGGGCTGAGATGGTGCCCTACTGCTTTGGCTGCGACGCGTGAGGGGTGTAGATCACTGATGGAACGGCACTGTCCGCAGCTTGTTATTTGCTGCTGGATGCCATTCAATGTAGACTGGACGGAGAAGGCTCGCCACAGTGGCTGCGCCTGCTGCCGAGAAGTGCATCAAGGAAGCAGCCACTTCCCTGCGATGCAGCACCACCACCACTCCCCTTGCCAAGTGAAGGAATACATCCTCATAGGGCATGCAGAAGGAGGTCTTGTGGGACGCCCGTAAGTGCCTACACGTGCTGCTTACTTTCCCTAGCGCGATGCCATTTATCCCATGCGTTGAGTGGGGTTTTACGGATCAGTTCCTTTGGGTGCGAATACTGACTAACAAGGGGTTCTACTTCACAAGGGTCCCTAAAAGCCCTAGGAACCGCTGCTAATAAGACGCGGCATTGGTTGTTCGCTTCATCTCACCGGGGAGGGGACTTCTCCAGTTTCATTATCGTTGTTTCTGGGTGCAGGCTTGAGACGTGGGGAATGCGTTGCCCAGACGCCAGCCACTTGCCTCTTGGAGTTGATTATGAAATCCCTCAAGAGTTAACCCGGCGGCTTCTGCACAGTTCGTCCTGGAGCCCCTCTGAAGAAGATATCAGTGGCCCTGATGCTGATGAGCATGCAATAATAGGGTCAACAACTATGGGGGAAAGCGTTAGCAAGAGGCGCCGGGAAAATATAGAGGACGAAGAACGGAGCAGCAAAATGTGGAAGTCAGCCAACAACTTCCGCTCCCTTCCACCAGATGTTCCAGCATCAAAAGCAGTTGATAATCAAACAATAGACGGCTATGTGCGGACATACTGTTCATCCTCACATCAGCAACACGAAGGCGATTTCCGGGGAATGGGAATTAAGCACCAACTGTTGCCTCTGCACGATCGGCCGTATTACCGGGAAGGATTTTTCCGTCTGCCCCCCAAGCCCACTGAAGAAGGGGCGGAAACAGCGATGGGCGAGGGAACAGGAAGCAGCTTGCTGCTTGAGGAGCTGCGGCGCGCACGACCTCTCAGCCGGTTTGATTCGCTCCACAGCCTGCGTGCCAGGTTACCCTCGGCGTCTCAAATCGTAGTGTTCCGCCGCATGAGCAGTACGCAAAATATTTAACGTTGACGAATTGCAGCGTATGCCTATTACCGTGGCTGGCTGGTCGTTTCAATATGAACCGATCGAATTTGGTTTTTCTGAGCACTTCCAATAGGTACGTAGCACTCTTTTTGTGGTATGTACAGCGGCTTTCTATATACGCGAAAGTGCAAAATGTGCAGATGAGGTAGCACTGCAAGTAACAATCAAACAGAGGCTCTGCTCACTTTCGGTAGTACAGAAAGCTCCCATAAACAAAGATATGGATGGACCTCAGAGGGCTCATAATAGGACATCGAAATCTACTTAAGCATGCTTGTCTCGAATACTGGCAGTATTCGGACACCAACAGCACGACAGCAGGAACCGTACCAGACTTCTCGAGATCCACCCCAACTGCGTTCAGTCGACTGCATTCAGTTTATCTGCATAAAGGTTTGTGGCGGTGTGTGACTTCCGAGTACGGCAGGTACACCACTCTCCACCACAGGTTGCTCGGAAATGCCTGGTTTGACAGTTATAGACCGGAATCATTCTGTGACTGCGGCGCTTCTGATATGCTTACTAAGCATTTGATTGCCCCGCTTTGCTGCCGCGCTCATCTGGGAGCTCTGCTCCTCCAGTAGGGGACTGGCTGTCCGCAGCAGCATCTGCCGGCGGCTTTCTTCGTTGCTTCGTGTGCGGAGGCTTCCTTATGCGGGTCATGTGGCTCTTCCGCTCCTGCGATGACTAAATACAATGCAAGAATAACAAAAGCCCTACGTAAGTCAGAAGTAGGGCATCAGAGCACTAGCGTCAGGGAAACCCACGGAGGAGCTCTGGAGTTGAACATACTTCAAACTCACAAAGGGGTTTTGCAACGCAAACCTGACTGAAAGTGAACGCTACAGAGCCAGGAGGGAGCCTGGCGAGACTTACAGCAAGGGGAACTTGGGCACCGAAGAACAACCAAGTGCTGATGACTCCTCCCATCAGAGGATAGCATTTTCCTGTCACAACATACGTGATGTTTTCAACTGGCATGTCCAGCAAGCGGCGAAACCGACGGCTTCCTCCCAAATAGCTGCGAATTTCCGTTGAGTCTGAACCAATAATTGAAAATCGCAACAGCGCAGGAGTCAGGTTAGGAATTGTAAGAGCTAGACGTTTCTGAACAGCTTTCCTAAATCACACTCCAAAAATTATCTTCGATCCACACAGAACGCATCCTTCCTACAGCTCGCACACACTGAAAGGGAAACGGCACCCACCAGAGGTAGCCAGGTGAATCGGGAAACCACAGAAGACGTGGTTTGGTTTTACAGGAAACACATTCTGCTGCCAAAGGTAATAAATTTGCTCCTGAAAGGGAACAAAGTACAAGGAGATAATATGTACCGTTTTGCAGCGGGAGTGCCAACATTTATGAAGTAGCTGTTATCTCCTATGCGTAACTGCCGCTGAGAGTATCATCTTTGAGGGAAATGTATGCAAGACTGCGAGTGTATGGACTGGACACTTGCTCATGAAGGAATCTACCATGCGGTAATACCAATTCCACTTGGCGACCTGCTCCACTGCATAACTTCCGCTCGACACGGGCATTTTCCACTCCGTTGGAACTCGCGGTTCCTTGAACACAAACAAGAGAAACAGAGGGCAGAAGGGCAGCTAAAAAAAAAGGAAAATGTTGACGGCGAAGGTGATTCCACGATTCGTATTTATTCCTTCACGAACTGGATTTGTCCGCTTAATATATGTTTTTGGAATGTAGTTTTTGTGTGCGTGGGGGGGTTCGTTGGTATGTAGTTTGTTAGTAGGCATGGACCGCGTTAGGCAGGTCGGTGAGATGGATTTCATCGATTTATTACACATGCAGTATCGTGTGTCTGCCACTTTAGACGGCATTTGCCCCTCCCACCCTGTTCCTCATCACAACCCACGTATAGTCAGTCAATCGACCCAGCCATCCATATGATTCAAGCACTGCGCCTCCCGCAATACGTGGTACCTTTACAAGACAAATGCATGCGTCTTCAATACGAGTGAGCGAATCATGCATGCATAAAGGTACCACGGCTTGCCTGTTCGATTTCACGACTTCCTTCACCGGCTTCTTGCTGAGCCGATGGTTCTGTGCCATCCGCCTTCTTAATGACTTTCCTCGTCTGTCCTCCGGAAGCCAATCCTAATTTAGCGAGATCTACTCCTCCATCAAAAGTCGCGTACTCCTTTGGGGGTAGCTTGGGCGGCTCGAGAAGATCCCCGTAAGGGTCCAGGTCCCCCATCTTCGCTTCCGCCTCAAGCTGAAGGGCCCCTGCCGCTCCCTCTCCTCCCGGCATGACCGGATCTCTACCTGCATGCGCAATTGGTGATGCTTAACCAGCATGAAGCATATTTGCTCGAGCGGTGCAGAAGTGCAATGCAACTTGAGCAGGAGCATTCTATTAGCGTCTGAAAACGTCGAAATGATACCTGCGGGAACACCCGCTTCGTACTTCTGTCTTGCATAGTTCATGTCGAAACCTTCAGGCAAGCCATCTGCTTTAACATTCGGGCGAGCAGACGCTCCGGAATCGATGAAATCCGTCGCACCGAACTGCCTAACACGATCCATGCCTACACACAAAGCACATACCAGCAAGAAAACACCCCAAAACTATATCCTACAAACATATATTAAGCGGACAAACCCAGTTCGTGAAGCCCAGAAGGAATAAATACGAATCATGGAATCACCTCCGCCGTCAACCATTTCCTTCTCCCCTGTAATAGGATTCAAACGAAACGCGCCATGCAGCCGGACATCCGCAAGTCTGCCTGAACACACGCGAATATGGGGCAACATCTGTAGAATTTTCGTCGGTCTACAAATAAGCACGCATGCGCGAAGCTCAGCACGGGGGCAGATCCACAATGAAAAACCCACGAAGCTGACGAAGGCTGATGGCGACATGCGGAACGGTTGCCAGCATATACGGAGCATGCGTCAGCACATGTGTAACAGCACCTAGAGCCACCGCACCTTTGTTTAAAGGAACAGGGCCCACTGGAGATATTTGCTGGATGGCGCCCAGTGCCATATTTCCGTATGGCTGCACAGAGAGGCATATCCTAGTTTCAAATGGTAGGCCTGTCTTATGCCGCAAGGGGAAAAATGTAATGTCAAAGGTGCAAAATACTTCGAATGAATTAAGTAAAATGCAGGAGTTCAGGAAAGCAGCATTCTCACTTGTCCTCCTGTGGTCGTAACTGCGTAACTATACTCGTTGACACCTGTAAGTGGATTGTACACCATTCCTTCGGGAGCCGGCTGCAGCACGAGGCAAAAGAAAAAATACAGGGTGGAGTGATCATCAACAGACGCTTACCATCGTTGCATACACCCATGCGAAGCATAGGAAGCAGAGTCTGAACGTCTACTTACGGGCGGGCCAGCTCCTGCGTTTCTGGTGGAGGCCCAATCCCGGTTGGCCTGGTCGTAGTCAATATCCAGCATCATTCGGTGTTCTTTGGTTGTCATAAACAATCTTTTGTCAGTTTCCCCAGCAGATGCCTCACCAGGGATCCGGTCAACACCTGGTCTTCGAGGATGGGACGAGCTTCCCGAAGCAGATACTGCTGCTGAATTAATATTCTCTGAAGCGTTAGATAGTGACACCACTGCAGGGTTCTCAAGGGTAACGCGACTCCTGCAATTGCCACTGCTGTTAGTGCCGCTGCTGACATTTCTGCTCTGTGAAGGTCCATGCACTCGGGTGGAAATATGTGAAGGCTCTGCAGTGTGCAGTCCTGCGGATGCGGGTGCTTCCGAATTAGCTGAACCCTTTGCTCCCTTTAGCGACAACAGAGTGGCGGTGGCATGACGTATGCTGCCTGCGAGCACTGAATTTCTTGCCCGCTGCAAGGAAGAGGCGTACGCCTGCTGCATACGCTCAGATATACCTCCCTTCAATCTCCCGGTTGCCATTGATGAAATGGCTTCTTTTTCTGCGTCTTTTCCAATTACAGAGCGGAATTTTATTGAACGCCATTCCTCGTTCGTTCTCTCCCCCCCTCCAGCGGCATCTTTCTGTTCTGTTCTTCGAGATCGCAGCTCGATGTGATCTGCAGATGCTGTAGCTTTTTTACTTGGAAATGACTCAGTAACTTCTAAAATAGACTCCCAGCTGTTGGGCCTTCTACTGACATTATTGCTGTCATTGTTGCTGCTGCTCCGAATGCGCCTTTTGACCTTTTCAAGAGGAGGGTAAACATGCAAGGGACGCCATGGATTGGTCTGACAGCCTGCTGACGATTCGCAGACGTCACTGTCGGGCAGGGAGTCAAGGGTACCTCTTTCGCTCTCGATAGACCCAGCATAATGGGCCTCCAAGTCAACACTTTCTGATGATCCCAAACTACTTCCTGTACCGTGAGCAGGTTGCACTCTAGGCGAATGATTCTGAGCCTCCTCCTTTGCCTGATGGAGCCCCTCCGCCTCTTCGCACTCTTGTTGTAGGAGCGTCCCTTCCGGGTTGGCCATCGCAACCGTAACGTAAGGCTTCCGTTGCCTGCGCATTGCCTCCAAGTGCCTGCTTTTTTGTTCTGCAGCGTATCCTGCAAGCCACTGAAATCCCGCCTGACTGCTCTGCCTTCTGCCTGGCTTGCGATGCAGACAAAGCGATGGCTGGTCACTGGTCGATGAGCCAGTTGATGTGTCAGAAGCGCTTTCCTCCTTGGCCCGACGGGCAGCTGTTTCAGCAGTTGCGATGCTGCTGCATCTGCTGGGATGCTTTCCGCGACCTGCATGCAGCTGCTTCCTTGTCTCTTCTTCTGTACTGTCGTGATGCACTTCTTCCACAAGTTCACCCTCGCTAGTTGATCTGCTGCAGCTGCTTCGCCTACTGCTGCTTCTGGAATTGCTGCTAGGAGAAACGTATGCCTCTGTTGGAGCTGAATCAGATGACCCATATTCCGACGCAGTGTCGAATGAGCCGTGGCTGGAGGGGGGATCACTTTCGAAGCCCATTCTGAAAATCCGAGACTGCCTAGATGAAGCGTGCCCTGCGCGTTCACCAACTAAACCATTTGCAGTTCCCTCGGCGATGGCCTGCTCTGCCTGCAGAGTGGCAGCACGGGCTTCCATACGCTCATACACTTTCCGTCTCAGGTCTTCTTTGAGGAGCAGGTGGGCGCGCTTCCTCTCACTCATCTCCTCACTCGAGCCCACAGACTCAAATATGTTATTTGTACCGCAAGCCTGAGAGTGAGGTGACTGGATGTTCCCTATCGAAGGCATGGAAGAGAGGCCTTGCTGGTGCTTCTTGTTGCCTTGCTTTCGCTTCCTTGCTGTGGCCACCAAGCGGCACCAAGGGCGCATTGGAGAGCGCTTCACACGAGAGCTGAGTAAGTTCTTAGTTGAAGGGAAAAGATGCCCTCCTGAGTTGAGAATGTGCTCCTCCAGCTCATTAGCCAGCTGCTGGGAGCACTGAGCCAGGCTCTCCAGCAGATGCGTGGACGTATCTTGCCCTGCGACGTTCTCTACCGAAACGGCTCCCTTCATCGGCTGTGCTTTGGTCGTCTTTGTTGAAAAACCCGGTACCCCTGGGGCCGTCGAAGGATCTCCGTTGCAGTAATTGCTGCCGCTCGCTGCGACGGCCGCCGCGGCTGTAGTGCCTGCAAAGAATGACCGGTTCTCAGCTGTTGCTTTACCCGCCTGCTGCTGTTTCTTCGCAGCCTGCAAAAGACGGAAGCCTTCTGCAGCAGCTTGCTGCAACATGCGCTGTAGTGCCTTTAACGTGCGACGCCTATTCCCCCACCGCTTCTTTGCTCCACTAGCAGATCCCATCTGCAGTGCCTTGTTGGAATGATTTTTGTCCGCTCGATCTGTCTTCGAAGGTAATTCGAAGGAGGCACCACTGCAAGATCTGCATGGGAGGCAAGCAGCATTTTGTGGTTCTACACTGAAGCGTAGGCCTGACGGAGCCACATGGTCCCCACCACTGGATCTCTTTGGTCCGTTGAACCATCCAACGTGGCCTCCCCCAGCCATATATCCCTTTACTAGTCTTGCTTCCTCCTGTTCGGCACGTCGTTGTTCTGTGTCGTAATCTACCATGGCCGCAGAGGCAGCATCCACAGGATTGAGTGGTACTTGATAGACAGGCGGACCCGAGGGAGTGGTGGGTGTCTGCAAATGCAAATAGCCTCCTTGCTGACCCTCTAGGCGTGCTGCATCCTGCAAGCAGTGTGTACACAATAGGGAACATTCCATTGTGTTGCGCTGACTTGCCCCTTCAGAAACCACGCTTAAACAGAAGAAAAAGTGCTAAACACAACACCCTCTCAACAAAGCTGTCAGGGAAGGTGATGACAATTGAAAAGTTTACTTTTAACCTAAACCTCACTTCTGGTGCAACATATGTTCCCTCTCCTGTAACAGCAAAGGGGTCGTAAAAGCCTCCTGGAGGGGGGTTGGCTGCAAATATATCCTGGAAGTCATTATATCCATCACCCATCATTTGCAGAGCCTGTAAGAAGATACAGTTCGGGCACAAGAGTCACCTATCAAGCTTCCATATTACAAAGTTCCCTTGCTCAAAGCAAATTATTGGAAAAGCGCATTGCCAAATGAATCACAACTAGCCCCTCTTTGCAAAGTTCCTTTGATGCAATAACATAACAGGCAACAGCTTACGCCTTGAATAACAGGATCTGGCTCTACTCCATCTCCACAGTTTGGGGCATTTGAAGCTTGCACAGTGTCAAAAAAGTCATAGTCAGCTTTTGCAGATGCATTTGCGTCTGCCATTTCTTCTGGGAAACTTGACCAGCCGACGTGATTGGCGGGTGGTCCCGGGTTGTGAGCTTCGTCGAGATGAAGTCTGGAGCACAGGGAATCACCAAAAACTAAATGAGTTGTGGCACATGCGCCTAGATTGTCAAGCAGCAACGCAATGGACAGATAGAGTCTGCCACAGAGTTTGACAGGGATATACCGTGCATTGCTACACCCAGCAGAGTAGCGCAGTAACGTACCTGAATTCCAAAAGGTCCAAATAAAAAGTTAGCTTAGATAGCATTTCTTCTCGATGCTCAAAGGAAACATCGTTGCCATTCTTGATCCGCTGCATGCGAATATGTTCCACTACATTCCCGACGAGGTCTTCAGCAAGCAGTTGACTGAAAACATCGTCAAAACAAAACGCCCCAAGCCACTCCCTACACAGTTTTAGGCGCATATCCCCGGTGATCTGTGCTCAAGTACTGAGCGCCAAAATCTGATATAGACCAAACGGGTCCAGCGTACACGTGCAAAGACACAAGATGCCAAAGGGAATGCTGAGGAAGAGCCTTCTACCCTCAAATTCAACATTCTCCCAAATCCTCACCATTTCTTGTCGCGAATAGGCGTCGCAATGATTATGTCAGTTTCAATCGGGTCTGCGGGCTCCGTGAGGAGAGGCCGCCACTTCCACAGGTCCTCAAAGTCGTAGGTGATGCACGCTGGATGAAGATTCTGCAAATTTCCCCAAAGCTGAAAATTGTTGAACACAACCTCTATAGAGCTGTATGGGACATAAGAAAGAGTAGAGTCGGGTTTCAGCAAGTCCTGAGGCAAAACCAGTCCCAGTAGGCAAAACACAACTGTTGTGGAAAGCTCTACCATCAAATCGTTACTTTTGCACTGGATTAGCTAGCTAGCACGCAGCAAAAGGCAGGGCGAGGACGAACATTTGTGCCTTCCTCGTGACTGCAATCATCTATGCAAGACAAAAAAGAGATCTGGAGGCTGTGGAGACTGGCAGTCCTCCATGCCACGAAACCTTATAGCTGTGGCAACACTGAGCTCAATACTTCAGCGGCCAACGTTATGGAGGCCACGAACCTTGGCAGGAGTGATCGGGAGTTTGTCCAGCTGTTCTTGCATCATCTTCCTCAGCTCAGCCTTGTCAACCTTCTCCGCTATACGTTTCGATTTCGCAGGAGCACGACTCTCCGTAAGAATGCCACCTTCCTCCATCACAACGTTCGGGTCTAGTCTTTCATCTGGCGCTACATCTTCTCCCCATATTTCAGAATCTGGAATGGTCGCCCCCTCTGCGGCCATGCGAGCTGCATCAGCAGCAGCTGCTGCTTGAGACTGTACATGTCGCAAACGTTTAACCGCAAGAGCGAAAGAGCAACGGTGAATACTCCTGAAGCAGCACTTTTAAATGTAACTAATTTCATGTGTTGCAGTGTCCATGACGATCGTAAGTAATGACTTCACATATGACTTGCCCGATAGCGCTTACACCTAAAATTTGCAGGTTCTGTGTGCAGCACTCTAGAGTTTATTAGATACTGGCATGCTCCATGCATTAACTTTGAAGAGACTAACCTCTATCCACGCAAACCACTCTTCAAGGTAGGTTCCTTCCCAGTACTTTTCAGCTGCTTCTTCCAGTGATTCCTACAGTGCAATGCAACGTAGGGCAGGTACAACCAGACTGAGAAGATGCCAAACCAACACTGGCAGCGACGGGTCACCATACACGATGTGCCTAAGGGAGTTAGAAGGCTCACCTTCGGCTTGAAGTTCTCCGGGGGCCCTTTCGAAGGATAGCCCCACCTGTAGAAAGAAAAATGATTCGAAGCTTTTTATTCGGTGTACAACACATCCACAGGCAAGACACTAATACTGAGCCACGAACCTAAAAGCTGCTTAACTAGGTTTAGGCAGGTTAATTTTTCGAGTCGCCTTTAACAGGTGCTTACCGATATGGGAGACAGTAGCGCTTCCTATTTGTGGTTTCCCAAAAGACCACCCAACCGCCAGCATGGCGCGTCATGACCCATGCATGGTCGGTGGCGTACCCGTCAATGGTCCCTGAGAGACGCATATCCGGCAAGCTGAAACCGCATCTACTCCTTCCACGCCACAAAGAAAACCAACGACAGTCAAGACTTCCCAGATTTAAAACTGTGCCAAACTCTTGTTCGGTGTAGCAAGCCATGGCTCTGCGTTTGGTGGCGTGCCACTGCCGAACATCCGCAGTGCAGACACGTCAGCCAAACCTCCATGCTTTCAGAGATATGTGGCGTACCTTTACACACATATGCATCGTAGTCCAGCCCCAAGAGGCAGCTGCACAGTAGGACCGCATGATCATTCACTCCCCCTCTTCGAGTAGTCAGGAGAGATGCTGGGCTTTGCCACCGCTGGAACTCCCCGTCCCGCAGCTGTTTTGGGGAGAACAGATATGCGATGTTACTCAGCCAGTGTAACAGCTCCCCTTCCACAGCCAGCTGCGCTGGGACAGCAATCGGTACCACAAATGACGGCAAGGGGAAAATCAGACGGCTTTGGGAATGTTCCGCTACGCTTACAAACCTTCTTTCCTTTGGAGCCTCAGGAAACCATTGCAAATACATCTTCTGCCACCGCCGAAAATCCTTGTTCCATCGGCGCTCAACCTGCATCCAGATATCGTTTGAATTTTTGACCTACACCAAGAACACAAGGGCAGTTGACTGTGAGGCTGACGGAAGAGAATCACAGTACAAAGAGTGGCAAGTGGGTGCCACGGCGTGCACAGCAATCCAAAATGCAAAATGATGGCTGTGATCCGATGCCTCCATCCTGGTTATTCAGCAAAAGAAACGCCTGAAAAGGATCTCTGTCGAAGGCTGCTGCAATGCGCGGGAGCCAGATTGCGCTCTTTCTGATGGCCTACCACTGGTTGTGGGGGCATCTCAACATCTTCAGGCATCGGGGGAATAAAGAAGACCTCGCACCAGAGCAAACTCTTGTCACCGCTCATCTGTGGCAATGTTGACCCCTTGAGCTCTAGAAAACAAGAAAAGAAAACTGCAATATCAAATATGACAGCCTGAGCGAACCCCATTAAACCCTAGCTGCAGTCAAGCGGAAAGTCCAACATAGTCCCCCGTAACTACTACTTACCTAGTACTCGTTTTAGGACTAGCGTTTCATAGGGCCACTCGTAAGGAGGCACAACAACCCTATCATCATCTGGCAGAACAGTATCGCCAAATCCGGAGTAGTCGGAGTCATCTCGATTTGCGAACTCTGCTGGCCGTCCATCTGGAAGCCGGGTTTTTTCATCGCTTTCTTCGACACCCTAAAGCCAAAAACACCAACATCATACCACGACAAAACACCCGCGTGAGTTGCACACTACTACAAAACGGGCTGCAGCATTCGGTTAGGGGAGGGTCTGACAGGTCTACCCGTAAGTGAATGCAAATGTACCCACAAGCAGCAGCGTTTGCTGCGGGGACTAGCACTAGTCAGCTGCGCCTATTGTTCTGTATCACCGCCGTACCACCGCCAGGCTCCTCGTGTCTCGCTGTCCCTCCTTCCAAAGGAGATGAAGGCTTATGTCTGCCTCTCCGAGGAAGTCAGAAGTGGTATCGTCTGAGTCCCAAACTTCAAAGGACAACGGGCCCTTTGCAAACAAGTCCAAAGGCAGGGTAAACTGCAGCACAAAAGCATAGAGTCCTGAAAATAATACTGTCTACACACGCTGGCTCAAGTTCGGTTGAATATACGAACTTATGTGTTGCGAGTGACTGTGTCTGATGTATCACCATTCAATCTTGAACAACCACTAAGGATGGGTAGGTGGCACGCCGCAACAGCAGTGTATCTGCAACAAGTGGATAAATAAATAAATAAATAAATAAATAAATAAATATATATATATATATATATTA